ATTTTCCGCGTCTACTTTGTCCGGTTTATCTCACGTCTCTGCGCCTCTTGCATCAGCACTAGATATTTCCCCTTGACATCTAGATAAACCTTAGACTCGTGTAGCGTATTTTCCTCGAAGTGCGTATTTTGTAAATTGACACGTTTCGTGGACTCCTCCAAGAACCGTTTCTGTGAGCACGGACGACCTGCAATACTAGTGATCACAGAATTCGCTTGTTTCTTCAGTTCTTCGAGGGTAATAGCACACGAAAACTTCTCGCTACACAAAAAACGACACAATGGCCATCCCCCTCTCGGCATTCTTCCAAATCGGTAAAGGGCCGCTTTCAGCACTTTGCCTGGCCACCTCCTTTTAGAAATTTCGATTCCACGGGCGAGTGCTTCAAGCGTAATAATTCTGCTAGCACCGAGTCCCGGTACACTGGCAGCAATTTCTTTTACACCACCCTTCACATAGCTTTACCCAACCGCATCTATTTTTACATTGTTTTCATTTATAGTTCCAGATGGACTTTTTCCTTTTAGCCTCCATTTTATGTTCGTTAAACACAATCGCTCAGCACCTTCGCAAATCCGAAAATATATATATAACGGAAGAAGAAATAAAAAAGTGTTTAGCTTTTACATTATGATGAAGTAAGATCATCACCTGTCTCCATCACGTAGTCTTTTAAATTGATCACCAATGAGACAAGCTAAAGTTGTACCCACTAAGCCTCCAATGACCGGATCTTCAACCATGGAACCAATATATAGATCCACATCATCTGTAACGCAATTTAAAATCTGTACTGATGGAAAAAAGTAGGTTTGAGAAAAAATGCTCTGAATTATAGTTTTCATTGACTACTCATATATAAAAAGACTTGTAAATATTCGATTATCTATTTTACACATTAGTATTAAGCATTCAGAAAAAAAGAGAAAAAATCCATAACATGCATTATAACTCTGTAAGTAATTTTTTAGTAATTTTGTCTCATTTTTAAGTTGCAAATGATTTTCATCAGATCCTAAATTTCACAGGCTTTTGTAAGTCATAATTGAGCCACATTATGAACTAATCGTTTTAATCTCATGAAATATTGCATTCAGAAATTTATGGAGTACTATCGAAAGTTCAGTGAATGATGATGAAAAACATACCTGGTGTATGATAAGTTTTGGCCAAACCATCACGAATACCTTTCTCTAGAATCTCATTTTTCAATTCCTCAAAATCTTTCGCCAAGGGCATTCCACAAAACTGTCTCCATTTGTTATACGAAGGTAAGCCATGATCACGTCCACGCTGGATATTCACAGATCCAAGATCAGTGCTGAATATCATTTTTGTCGATACTAGTATTCTATTCGTTCAAAATTAATCTTTTGGAAATAAACATGGCACATCGCAGCACTATAATCATAACCCACATTTTGCCAAATATTCAAGCTTACCTGCCGAACATTTTTTCGGTTATAGATTTGCTCATTCTGTGAGGTCGTTTTGCGGGAGTCATCATGAAACCCCGTAGAATGGGGTCGATTCCACCTTCAAATAAGATTTTGTCTGATTTAAAAACACCTTCACCAAACATGAAACCTCCTTGGCTGATATTTTTTCCGAAAAGATTTAGTCTCTGATAAAATTCCTGAAATTTAAAAAACGAACAATCAACAAACTTAGCAAAAACATATAACTTTTGTAAATTAACATTTTCAGGTACAGAAAATGTGAAATTTCAATTCCCGTTTTTTATAAAGTTCAATATTCTGAGCATTGATTGAATCAACCAAATCTTTGTCTAAACAAAAAATTTTGAAAAGGAGTACAGCCTTTTTATAATAAATAAATATAAAAATTTACAATAAATAAATCTAACCTGCAGCATTCCATGTCCAAACCGATAAGCTGAAGTCGTAAAGACATTCGAAACAGTAGGATTAACTTTGGGGTCATATCCTTCATAAGGTCCAATATGCTTGCTCATAAAATTTCCCAGAATTTTTGGTAAAAATTCGCGATAAGTAATTGATTGTACTTCAGCACCAACAATTTTACGAGCTTCTTGAAATAAACGATCACCAGACCAGCGTGGATTCAACTTTTGCAATATTGATGCAATTCTATAATGAATTAAGAAGTGTTTCTTTAAATTTAGTTAAAAGACAATAATAAGTCGAAAAGTAACATATTTGAATGCAGTCTGAGTGCGCGACTAGATGAAGTGAAAATTTACTTAAATGAGTAGATAGCCAAACTGAATAAACAAAATGAATAGCGACATCAGTTTCATGGTGAGTTACATTAAATCTTGCAACTTCAATTAGATTTATTTTCAATCCACATTATTTATATTAAATATTCGATTGAAACGTCATCAACACGCAACTGTAAGTGAAGGAAAGAATAAATAATCATATTTGTTTGCAGTTGAGCACTTGACTACCTGTTATGTTCTCTTGAAAATAAAATATGTGTTGCTGATAAGCCAATAAATAAATTAACGCGAATATCACCAGCAGTAAATGTGGCTATGCATTTTTCAGGTGATTTGCATTTAGACTGATCGAAAGGTAGCACCTGAAAACTATATTAAAATAGTATTCATCATCAAAGTATTTTTCGTTTTGACAAATTAAATTGTAAATAAATATTACTATTGTATTAATGCATTGAAAGAATCAAATAAACAACTGTTGCATGAAATTTTGCTAAATTAAGTTTTTCCTTTCAAAAACATCTCTCAAAAATGTTAAATTTTTGCTAAAAAAAATTTATGTATTCAATCGACTTCAATTTATAAAAAGCTATTCCACACTAATTCGTCTAATTTCAAAAAAATAATAACAAAAATTCAATTTCAGCGCAAAAATACGAAACCAACCAGCTGATTATTAAATCGGTTCATATGAAGGAAACCAGTCCTTCCTAGTCGGAATTTATGCAAATCTTTAGATGATGAGCCATACAATGGTGAAGCATCAATGAATGCAGAATTTTCATTAAGTTGCTCTCTAGGCATTCCATTTCGACCAGTCCCGCAAATTGGTGATGATCGAGAAATTTTTAAGCAGCGCCGTTCCTTGAACCTACACAAATTTGCATATAAACAAATAAGCTAAATCAAAATTTTTTCTTTTACAGTATCTCTGCATCATATATATGAATAATAATTAAACGAATAATTATTGAGTGAAGAACTTTCTAGAACTGTTATATGCAGGTTAAAAAAATTGAAATCTCTTCTAAATGAATATAATTAAAGTAAGTGAACATAAAAGTTGAAATGATTTGCTATTGTAGGAAAAAATAGTCGTGACGATGAAGGCAAATACGAACATCATTTGTTAGAGGAAAATATTAATTGAAAATTGGTGGTCAGTTACTTGTTATTACCATTTTTAATCTTATACTATCAGCATGATTAAAATGATATTTAACTCTACAAATTAGCAATAATATAGTTCGTAGTACAAGGCATTACTGCTTTCAGAATATATCTGTCCTGAATAATCTGCATATAACTAAATTTTTTCTTAAAATCAAAAATGCCTTAGTTTTTTGGATCTATTTCGCTGTTTTCTTTTATTTCGACTGAAATTTTAAAAGCATTTTGGAAAAAAAGTGAAATTAACTAAAAAAAACTTTCATTTCATAATCTTGAGATTGTCAGTGATCGCATATTAATACTAAAACAATGGAGTTCCATGTAATTAGCTAGCATAGAAAAGGCAATAAACGTATTTAGTTTCCACAAAATCCTCATAGAGTGGTCAAACACTTGAAAAAAACACCTAAGAGCGGCCAAGAAGTGTATGATGAAGCATGATTGCCATGAAGCTTAAAGCATACTAGAGCGTGTGAAAGTTTACGAAAGTAAAATTACAAGTACGCATTCAAAATGCAAAACATCAGATTTCAGCTTTTCAGAATACGGTTATAAGGAATCTGATAGCTTGTTACCTACGATATAGGGATAAACCACAATATAGGAGTACAAGTTTTAGGATACTGCAACTCGGGGATAGGAAAAGATGATGACAGCCGCGGCATGGAATATCTGGAAGAATTCGTCGCAGGATTCTTTCCCAGGCAAATTCAGGAAGATAGACCAATAACTTGTATGTCGAACCTACAAGTTAACAACGAAATGTGTGGCACGTGTCATGCAGTTGGATGTTGCAATAAGAAGGCTATTTGCAT